TTTTTCTTTACCATTTGCCTATATTACTTATTCTGAACCTTCTCTGCAAATTTGGCCGGTTATTGCAAAATAACCCTGTATAATTTTGCTGTCGTTGTCATCTGCCTCACTCTCCTGACTCCACTGAAAACCAGCGTTACGAATTGACTGAATCTTCATTTCGTGAATTTTTGTTTTTTTAGTTTAGTTTTTTGAACGAAGTTCTTTATCGGACGGTACGGGTTAAGCGGATGGGAGCTAGGCGACAAAAAGTTTAAGATTTTTTCATCACTACCCCTTGTGTCATAGTGTGGACGGCCTTTGCGGCGAAGTAAGGAAGTGAGATGGAATACTATCCATCTCCCTCGCACTTTTTCTTATCTTGTCATGAAAGAAATATTATTTTATTTGAAATGACCCTTCATTCTAATAGACGCTAGTAATTTATTTATTTGTATTTGTTAATCAATAATGTAATACCTACGTTTATCAATAATAATAAACTATGCAAGGAACTTCGTTCCAACCGAGTGTTCCATGACACTCACGCATTTTTTTGTTAAGTTGAAAAGTATTATTTTACTGTCTTGCTTGATTTTTTCTTTCTTTTTTTAAATATATGTGCCAAACAAGCTTATTTCTTTTTATAATAAATTATTAAATTTACATATAAATACTTAATTAAATTAAGGAATTCGGGGGTGACTCAGTTTTTGGCTTTTTGCTTACACGGTTCTACGATCCCATGATGCTCTGGTTTTCAGGCATTTCTTCCTCCCTGAAATATTATAGGGGTGTCGTGAATATTGCGGGCTATCCAATTACCATCTATATTGAAAATGTAAAGGTCACAGTTAGGCAGGTGTTCTATAAAGTATTCATGTGTTTATTTCCTCACTGAGTGTACAATAAGGTCTTAACATTTATTACAAACTAGCGGCCCGCCCGGCTTCTCCTAAGTCAGATCTATTAATGTATAATTCATGCCAGCACATCGCTTGCAACTTTACAAAGCGTAAGTTCGGCCTCATATGGAATACTGTTCTCATCTCTGGGCCGGGGTTCCCCAGTGCCAGCTCCTTCCACTTGACCGCATCCAGCGCAGATCGGTTTGATTCGTCGACGACTGCGTTCTTTCTGATCGGCTCGATACACTGGCGCTGCGTACGGATGAGTGTTCTGAGGAATTGTTCGGATTAATTCCAACCGCCAAACTTCACGAACGCACATCGCGTCAAAATTCACGATGCCATCCTCAACAACTGGATGCTTGGCGGTCCACGACTGTGCGTTTTACTAGGAGTTTTCTTTCTCATACAACTTCTCTGTGGAATTGTTTACCACCGGCGATTTTTCCGGACCGATACGAATTAGGGACCTTCAAGAAAAGAGCTTACACCTTTCTAAAAGGCCGGCAACGCATCTGCAATTCCCCTAGTGTTGCGGTTGTTCATGGGCGGCGGTAGTCACTTACCATCAGGTGAGCCGCATGCTCGTTTGCCTCCTCTTCCATAAAATAATTTAAAATTAAAAATTTTGTACAGCCGACTTCAATATAAGTTATTAAGAACAACTCAAAAACTATTCGCTTGACCTTGATCAAATTCATATGGGACCACACGAGAACTACCAGCTTTCAAATAAAAAAAGAATTATCGAAATCGGTCCACCCAGTAAAAAGTTATGAGGTAACACAAAAAAAAACAAAATAAAATACAGTCGAATTGAGTACCGTCTCCTTTTTGGAAGTCGACAAAAAGAGTTATTTAGATATAAGATAGGAGATGAAGTTTTTAATTTAATTAGACGATTATTTTTCCACCGTTTGGGGTGATTTTTTTTTTCTACAAATTTAGGCATATAAGACTATATAAAACCAATTTTTAGGACATAACAACTTTTCTGCCGACTGCCAAAATGGAGACGATACTCAATTCGACGCGTATTTTTTTTTTTTATGTATGTTACCTCATAACTTTTTACTGGGTGAACCGATTTCGATGATTCTTTTTTTTATATGAAAACTGATACCTCTCGTGTGGTCTTGAATTTGATCAAGGTCAGACCAATAGTTTTTGAGTTATTTGAGTTATTCTTAATAACTTATATTGAAGTCGGCTGTACAAAATTTTTAATTTTAAATTATACGTGATAGAGCCATGCTGTAGCGATATTAATGGTATAGTTGTAGCACGAATGGTTCGGATAAAGTATCGTGCAGGCCACTAAGAAGATCAGTCTGTAATTCTACGAGTTTCATTGTCGTTATTTTGCCCGTTGATGTATTTTACTAGTGTAAGCAAGGAAGATCGTGTTGCTGAGATGCTGTCCTGTGACATTGAGATGGGTAGTATTGCTGCTGGTTTGCATACTTTGGTGTTATCATGTAATTGGTTCATTACAGTAAGCAGTTTGTTACCGAGTAGTGTTATTTTATATAAATAATTTTGAGGACAATTTCTAACATCAGAAGTGGAATAGTATCTTACAATAGAGAATCTTCATTTCAGATCTAAATGTCAGCCAGTGTGAGCGAAATGGCGCGCAATTGAAAACGCCGGCATCATCGTTTTTACTGAAAGTTGTTTATGTAGATAATTAATTAAAATCTTTAGATCTGATCGCAAGCCGCTTGATAATGACCCTGAAGATAATCAATATGTGATATTATGATATTGGGAATTACGTGATTTGATTCCTTGCTCCCTCCGTTCCAACATCGCGCCACCAGACTCTCGGCTGGGCCTTTGATGTTTGATCTTTGATGGATATATTACGCGTTTGAGGCAAACGGTTCGCTTCGTCGTTCATAAGCGTACAGCAAAGGAGTGGAGTAATTTTTACAACATCTGGATTTCCATGTGATTACAATGTAAGTGCCTTCAAGGCAGGCAATAAGCTTTTGTTAGGAGGAAATGTGGGCCGAGAGACTTTTGAAAATTAGATATTTGAAGACACTATCGCTGTCGCTCTGCGAGCGCTCGGCGTCCAATAAGGACAACTCCAGATCCTACTGAATAGCCTAAGTAAAAAGGCATAATTCGAGGTTTGATTCTCTACCATTTCCACCTCCAATATTGGACCAATTTAAATATATTTTATAATAATGAATAAGAAGGATGTTTTTCTTTTTTCTATTCAGTATTAGTTATCAAATTTGAACACTAGACCTCTGTTGACAGAAGTCTAAATATGCAATTTTGAGCATTTTTAAGTGCTTATAAAGATAATTAATCTACCGCCAAAAAGGAAATATTTTACTGTAAAAACTCATTGCTATAAGGTCGTAAACCAGAAAGAAAACAGCATTTTCTCTTATGCTAAGTGAGTGCGCTTTACCATCTATATATTAAAATAGAATAATATTTTCTATTTCATGGCCAGATAAGAAAAAGTGCGAGGGAGATGGATATTATTCCATCTCGCTTTATTATAGCCGTCAAGGCCGTTTACACTACGTCAGAAGGGGTCGTGACGGAAAAATGTTACACTTTTTCTCGGGTAGCCCCCATCTACCAAATTGGTACCGTAGGATAAAGAACTTAGTTGGAATAACAAAAAACTATCAAATAAATTATGCACATCAATTATCGTAAATAAAGTGGATAATTTTATTGCAGAACGACTATTTTTTCTGCATTTTCAGACAGTAGTTTACTAATTTTCTTCTCGTAGACAATAAAAGCTTCCGAGAATACTCTTTTTTATAGTATAGGGTGACAAACGAGCACACAGTCTACGTGATGGAAAGTGGTTGCTGTGGCCCATAGACATCTACATTTATCCTCGTTTACGAATCAAAATGCAGATGCGTTGCCACCCGTAGGACTAAAATGGAATGCCTCGTTTCCAGTAAAAAGGGTCTCCAGTTCTCCACACTCAACATACGAAACACAGCAGTGTTAAGCTGCTATTTGACGTTGGTATTCTGTGAGCGCGTGGTCCTTCCCTGGACGAGCCGACCCATTCGTGTTACAACTATACTACTAATATAGCTGCAGCATGGCTCTACCACGTATAATCGTTTTTAAACGTATACACGTTTTTCCTTCTGTGCTAACGGTAAAAATCCGTAAGAGTGATCACTTACGGATTTTTGCCGTTAGGTAGCAGGTTATACTGAAATCTGTTACAGGTCATCAATCATAAATAAAAATTAAGAAAAACTTTATAAAATATATTTTATTACAAGTACATCTAGATGTATAATATGTATATCATAATCGAATATATTATAACGACAACTATAAATTTTACAAACCTAAAAGATATGTTATATTACAAAACTATCTTAGAGATCGAAATTTTGTTACCCCCTAAAGAATTAAGATAATTATACATAATATAAAGAAAACTAAATACAATATTTAATGCACTATTTCGACGACAAGTACAGCATTATTTTAAACTAATTTTAAAAATCTAGTCGATATATATTATAAATAAAAAACCGTCAATTGAAAATATTAAAATGGTGTAATACTCATTTTTAGGCGCGAATTTTGACAGTTACAAACATTTGTTTTTTTTTTTACAAAATAAAGGATGTACATCAATTAATTTTTTATTTTGCGCAAATTTACAAAAATTAATTACTACTATACTTAATCTAATGGAATAGGAAAGTAATACTAGACTAGAAAATGTTTATTTACAAATAATTTCATTAAGTGACTTAAGCACATTTTTTTACTTTCAGTATATACATATCTCAAACAATGCAATATAATATTCAGTGTATAACCCGAAAATAGGCCACATTTCTTTCAAATTAAATATATTATTTATCAAGTATTTTATTTTACTTTTGATAATACTCTAACATTAATACAACATTGAGTGTTGTGTGATCCAAAAATACACACTGGGACAATTTAGATAAAGGGTAATTTCTTAATTACTATAATTTACCAATTTTATTATCAATAATAGCTGGGAATTTTTAACACTTTGTTTTTAATTACCTTTTGTGGAAAATAGTAGTTATTAACCTAGAACTCTGTAACTTCTGCTACAATAAATTAATGATTTCCGTTCACACCATTAGTAGTTGATTCATGAATACTTTTTAAATGGAATGGTGATATGGTGAAGACCTCATTTTCAACTAGGTCTTCTAAGTTCTCTCCTCCATAAGACAGCAGTGGAGAAATTTCAACGTCAATGTTATCCTCAATGATGCCCCCAGCTTCTCTAATGTATTTTCTGTGTAGACGAAGGAGGTCCTCCCTAGCAGTTGACGGACAGTCTTTCTTAACTGCATCAGAATTTTTAAGAGCAGAGAACTCTACATCTCTTGCTACTTCTAAACAGATGAATTTCTCAGCAAACTCAAACACATCAAAAATGAACTTTTCCATTTTAATTCCGTTTGGTTCATTTGGTTTCTGTCGGACACCAGTGTTGTCAACGTAGGGTATCTTTTTCTTTGCAACATGCAGTTTCAGTTTAGACTCATAATCACAAATCTTAGCTAGGAAGTCTGAAGAGAAGTAGTGATTGCAAATGTTTCCAGCTGAGAATGTTAAACGCCCATCTGGATTTCTACGCTCGGCTGCTTCATCGGTAAGTTCTGAATATTCAACAACTTTGTAATGTCCATTCACTCTGCACACAACACCAACTGGCTCACTTGGTGTGGATTTAAGCACCACCTTGGCTGCACAGTCTGCATTCTTGCTTTTGCAATAACCAATGAACACTGGGTCTGCAACTTTTATAAGGATATTGTCAACAGAATGAGCATGAAGATGCTGAACACCTCTTCTTTTTATATCATCTAATACCCCTTGAGTCTTAAGTGCACGATATAAGCCTCCATTCCCATCAGGGGCCGATGAAAGATGGTATTTTTCATCCAAAAATATTTTACCATCAAAATCAAAACAAGGAAGAGTACCCTGCTCAAAGAACATAACATCCTCCTCATTCAAGCCGAAGTAGGAGTGGTCCTTAAAGTATTCTGCTGTCGGGCCCATAGTGTGTTCTGATGTCATTATATACCAGGTAATCTTACCCTCTCTTCCTGTACTCTCAGCAGCCATCTGCTGTACTCTAAGTATTCTTTCAGCTTGAATTTGGAACAAAGTTTTCTTGGATGGTATTCCAACATTATACATTCCCTTGGGATGACCAAATCCAAGTCTTGTTGCTTGACCGCCAGCTAGTAATAAAACACCAACTTTGCCTTCAGAGATCTCTTTAAATCCAATACTTTGGTATTCTCGGATTTTATCTTCGGTTAAACCGGGCACAGACTCGTAGTGCGATTGTGGTATTGGCTTTAAATCGTCATCAGTCTTCTCCAATATTACTTTGGTGCTCTCCATGGCTCTTTGAAATAATGAATTAATTTCGGCCATGTCCAATTTCTTGATTTCTCCCGCCAATTGTTCTCTTTCATTTTCACTTAGTTCCGGCCAGTATTTGATAAGGTGTTCTTGACCATGAGCGGTCAAATATTCCTTTAAACTTTCGTATGACATTACGAAGCCGTATACTATACTAAAATGTTAACACAGTCCCGCGAGCTCTATCTTATCAGGTCCAATCGCCGCGATTAGAAAGTGAACACTGGCTGTTGGTTTTGTTGCCGACATTTCACTGTTTATTCTCCCACCACGGTGCAGCCGCCGAAAACACGTCGGCTAGGACTTGACACTCTGTTTATTTACATTCAAGGTTGTACATTCTTATGTCAAAGTATTTAACTTTAGACGGGCCTTTTTGTAACAGATGATAAATAGTTATGCGGAACAAATACAGCAATGTAGAACTAAATACAGTTATTTGACATTCTACGTCATTACTTTCATGTATTGACAGATTCGTTTAAAAATCGAAAATAAAATTAAGTTTTTTAATTTGTAATGTTTCATTGTTCTTCTATATTTATAAAAAAATAAAACAAATAATTTTCTGTGCTTAGACATAAAAACGGATTAACGACGGATGATTAAAAGCGTTAGGATTATTTTTATCGTCAAAATTTAAAGACTTTTAAACAAAATCTTTTCCTGACAACACTTTTTTTATCATGGCAATGGCTTTAAGAGATTCAGCACAAAGGAATACATCAAAGCTTTATTTATATTTTAGAAAATATAAATACGATAACAAATATCTCCACAATATTATTTTGTGATATTGGGCGGCAGCTTAAGTGAGCGGACAGCCGATGGCAATATTATGCAAAGTTCTTAAGGAACTGCAAAACAAAATATCTTAAGGTTATATCTCACATTACTATCGGAACATTTGTTTCATCGTTTTTCTAATAACACTCGTATGCAGATACACTGATTTAGATGTAGGTATATTTATATCTCTATATGCAAATACTTATACTCCACCAAATCTAAGAAATATCTTTTGACAGCTGTCACATTTATTGGACTAGGCATTCCAATTTCCAACTGAAAAATCGGTACCTACATTATTATTTAATTAAAAAATAGAGATATCAATATCGATTATTTAGATCTGGTAATCATTTACTGTTTTTTCTAGATTAATACAAAAATAAATACGAAACAGATAAACAAAAACACGAAGTTTATCAGTTTTTTCATATTCATTGCTTAATGATAATTTCTAGAGATAAAATAAAGACTGCACTAGATCAAAAGCAAAAATATTTAGTCACTTTCACTACAACTAGTTGAGTTTTCGTTGTTTTGTTTAGTGCGATTGCCAAGTCAATTTATTTATTTTAAACATAAAATATTTTTAATATTGACATGGTCACTATAAGATGTTGTTAGGTTAGCTAATTACATAATAACTTAAGACAGCAGGACCCTTAAGTAGGGACTAAATAAATTAACTGACTTGGTATTACATGTATCTCACAACATTTTACGGTAGAAGAACTGAGTTGCGAGACTTGGGTTTTTACAAGGTATGTTTTTGATGGCATCTCATTTCTTTTTGTAGATAGTTGTATCTAGGTACCTATCTACACCTATTATTCCATTATATTATACATATATAGGTACACTGAATCATTCAGCGCAAATGTAACTTTGTAATCCTATATATTTAAATTGGATTACAAAGTTATTTATGCAGTTAGTGTATCTCAAAAACTGGACCGAAACTGCAAAATATTTTAGTTTTGCCTTAATTAATATACTAAACAATAATTGTATTCCTTTGAAGATTCTATGTCTGCTAGAAGTACCTTAGAGTTTTGATGATCGGTCAGTGAGTGAGTGACAAAATTAAGAAATTTTGACTAGTTATAATTCTTAAACTACTGGTCCAAATTTAATGAAATTTGAAATATGCCGAGTTTATATAATGCCTACTTGATTACTGAAAATTCAGGCTTTTAGTTTTATCCACAACGAAGTTATAGGGTTTCGAATATGGCCTGAACTGCTCGAGAAAAGGATGGTACGGTCGTGCCGCTTTTTTGCTCGACTTGGTGGAGGCACTGCTGTGCCCCCAGATATTTTGCTTAGTTTAAAAGATACGAATTTAATAAGGATAAAGAACTATATATGTTATAATGAAAATACATAGGTACCTTCATAATTCTTTGGATTTACGTAAAAGGTTATTTTAAATCGTATGAATATGTACGCTTGTACAAAGTTATTGCGAAGTTATTGATATGAAACGTCAAAAGGTATTACATACTTAGATTTGGTTGAGTATAATCACAAACTAATAAGAAGTACTAGAGTATAATGAACTTAATCCCACCATTTTCATAACTATGATTTGTTCTCTTTGGAAAAATATACATAATGATAATATAATCAGGAAACATAAGACATTGAGACAGGATTATAAAAATTATTTGTAAAACAAATATTTCAAGTTGAAATTACTTTTATTGCCTAAATTGGTAATTAATAGAATCAGGCGTTACTTTGCGGAAGTCCATTATATTAAATTTGACAAAAAATAACTTTGCGTACATCCGCTAGATAACTAGCGGATGTACGCAAAGTTATTTTTTGTCAAATTTGCCTAAATTGGGTTTAATTGATTATCGCCTTTCGGAGGTCACGATCTTCTGGAACATTAATTAATAAAAAAAAATAGCGAAGGGCGTGGACTTTGAATGAACTGTTTTTAACCTACTTTAAAAAAGGATTAGGTGGATGTTTATACATTTTTTATGTATGTTTGGGCATAACTCCCTCATGTATAGACAAGATTACAAAATTCCTGTTTTGTTCGAAAAAGGTTTATTACAAAATGGTCACATTTAAATTGCGTAACTATCTGATTATCAGTTTCGGAAACAGACAATGGATCTCTTCAATTAATGTCAGCAAATTGTTGCTACTGCATATTTAGTCAAGATTCGAAATTGACTCAGGACGTTTTTAAAAAAGCCTTTTTTTAGCTTATTACTATTAATGTGCGATACATTACTTATATATTCCACTTAATTAATCCGCGATGGATTCTAACTTAAAGCTATATGTCCGATAAATGTGAGAGCCTAACTATGACTATCCTATTTATTATTCAAGATGTTTAAGCTAAGGAATAGTTATCAGTATTCACACGAAAGACCACCCGTCTTCCAGACGCAATTCAGCAATCTACTCCCACGCTTACGCTTGAATTGTGATGGTCTCTAGTGCAGTTCCGGGAATACCGGGATGCATAACTATCTATGGATTGTTTACGCAATCACACAACATAATATCACGCCTGTACCATCTAAAAAGGTACGCAGAAAGATGTTCAATATAAATACTTCGGTACACCCTCATTTCTGTCAAAGTTGTTGTTGGGATACCTATAATCTTCTTATTAGTTTGTGCCTCTAATCTTACGAATAAATTTGAGCATCAGTTTTTTGTTTATGTTTATGAATTGATTTAGTTTATATTGAAGTCGATAGTATATTTTTTTTAATTTACGACATGCTGCGAAGGATAAAAAACTAAGATAACCGTCATTATCAAACATAACATCTAATTCTTCTTATTAACAATAAATTATGATCAAAAATATAATAGTTCCCGAAAAGATCAAAAAAAATTATTCTACAACTGCTAAGTGCTAAAAATGTCTTAATTTTCTGTGGTTTGTCTTCATCTACATTCTGTCGAGGTTTTGGCGGGAAATTGAACGGCGGCGGTTTGCTGCTCCTGTATTATTGTTTAAATAATGGTTTGAAGTGGAGTTTGATATGTAAAAGTGTTGCGATTTTGTGTATTAAGTGTCTACGCATGTGAACTATTAGTGGAAACAGTGAAACAAGTGCTCTGATGGTGATGGATTCTCAAGATAAGCTGTTTGTTTGCATAGGCACCTTTAGATACCATCGCCAACTATCAGCTGTCTGCTGGATCAAGTTGCCGCCAAAATCTCCCAAGAACTGCACAATGTGACGCATCAACATATTGTGAAGCAGTATACTATGAAGGAGTGGGAAAATTACAATAAACCGAATAAAAATACTTAAGACTTGGCCTAAAGGTCTAGATACCAGGCCATAAACTCCAAAAAAAAAAATACATTCTGTCGGTCGCACATGCCTGCATTCATAGAATCTATATACTATACTATATACGCCTGTATTGCCTAGCGATGGGTTGTTGACGGTTATTCCGTTAACGAAACGTTAACGTTGATTTACGTTTGTCAACTATTTAATCAACTAGATAAATTCGTCAACTAGTTAACGTACTGCTAATATGAACTTGCATTGTAAACCGTTAATTCATAGAACGGTTTTAATTTAACGCTGCGACTTTCAATTTTAGAAACAATTTGATTCAATGTATGTATTGGAAAACGTTTTATTGATGGTTCTACTTAGATGATTCATTAACTAAAAAGTCTAAACTCTTAAACATTTACAGTAAGCCGCAAAATATTTTCTGACCTTCCGCGCAACTTGTCACAAACTGTCAATCAAAAATTAAAGAAAGCGAACTTCATATCGTTCGAAAGTTAAACATAAACAAAAAAATAGTTTTAACAAGCACGAGAGGGACGACGCCATTCCATCTATATCATCATAAGTACTATTCTTAAAATAAATATTTAAAAAATCAACTCTTTTATACGTTCCTTAGAGTTCAAATTGTATGATGTGACCGTCACTGGCAATCTATGACGTTATTTTCAACGTAAGTTTTTAATTTGCTCTATTCGTTGCGATTGCGTTCTCGATTATTAAACTTTATTTGTTAAATTCATAAACGTCGTTGACGATTTCAACTAGTTGATTCATAAACAGTTAACGTTAATACGTTGACAGGAGATCAACGGTTGATTCAACTAGTTCGTTGTTTCAACACCATCGCTAGTCACTATCGGTACCGTTGCCCATGCGGCATTTTTGTCAAAAGAGATGTCAAATGTGTCTTTTAAACATGTTTGTTATTTTTTATTAATTGTTGTAGAATTTTTATTTAAAGTAATATACAGTGCAGTATATTGCGGCATTTATGTGTTGAAATTATTACTTTACCATTTATTCGGTGTTAACATGATTGAAAACACTAAA